CATAGATGGGTTAAGGTTAAATCAACATATTTATTATATTTGTTCTTAATAAATTGAAATAATTACACGTTAAAATGTTAACCTTGTTTCCAAGACTCTCTTGTATTATATATAATTAGCATCTTAAATGAAGACTTATGACTAATTGTAAGTAAATTGTAACATTCGTGTTAATTGTATAATGAATGAAGAAATTAAAATTTTTATTATTAGTCAAAAAATATAATTTTTGATGAAAAATTATTTATGCATAAATTCATGCATATGATTTTTGTAGGCACTTTAATTTTAGTAGTAGTGTTCAATATATATAAAACCAAATTAATATAAATTATAATGAATGTTCTGGTCATTTTAACAACTTAAAATCTTAGCAATTTGTATTTAAATAAATCTATTTTTATTCCTAATATTAAAATAAATATGGTTTCTCTCAAATTCTTAAGTTATTTACAATTTTATAAGACGAACACTGGGGTATCTTAGAAATAATTTGATGAAAGCTAAATGTTTAGATAATTTATTAAAATACTTCTGATTATTTTAAATCACAGTAATCATGATATATTCCACCTTAATATGTCTATAATACAATGCAATATAAAAAATTGCATGTTTTTTCACAAATTTTTAGGATATTTACAACTTTGTAAGAAAAGGACCAGGTTGTTTTGGATATAAATATTTGATGAAAGCTAAATGTTTAGATAATTTATTAAAATACTTCTGATTATTTTAAATCACAGTAATCATGATATATTCAACCTTAATATGTCTATAATAAAATGCAATATGAAATAATTGCATTGTTTTTCCAAAATTTTTAGGATATTTACACTTTATAAGACAAGTACCAGGTTGTCTTGGATATAAATTATTTGATGTAAGGCAAAAGTTTAGATAATCAATAAAATATATCCGACTTACTAAATATATGGTAATTGCAATATTTTCCTCAATATGTCTATAATAAAATGCAATTAATAAAATTGCATTTTTTTTTACAAATTTTTAAGATATTTACACTTTATAAGACAAGTACCAGAATGTCTTGGATATAAATTATAGATGGAAGACAAAAGTTTAGATAATTAATTAAAATATCTTTGATCACCCAATAATGCGGTGATTGCATATGTTTCTCCTTATATGTATATATGAAATGCAATATAAAGAACTGTATGCTTTTTCACAAATTTTAAGTTATTTACGATTTTATAAGACAAGAACCAGGGCTTAGATATAATTTATTTGATAAGTCTTTATATGATATATATATATTATATATATATATATATATATTAATGTATTTTTAAGACAAAAGACAAAAATTTATTCTTTTGTTACAAAATATATTGTTTTTCATATTAACAGAAAGAACAACAATTACGTCAGCTCTAAATAGGTGTGGTTTATGAATTTGCCTCCGTTGTACAGGTATAACCTTCATGGTTATTATTGCAAAATTATATTATACACCTGTAAAATTATATATATATATATATATATATATATATATTAGTGTTAATAATTCAAAACAGGTTCTTGTTTTTGTCAACAATATCCAACGCGTAAACCGAACAAAATATTTCACCAAAGGTAAAAAAGACAGGTGAACAAGTTCTCAGGTGAAAAATTAGATGCCACTACTATTTAAAATATTTTTTTGAATAATTAATTGATTAATTTAAATTCTTCTCAAGTACATTTTTAATTTTAATCTTTTTTAAGTACTATATGACCATCATATATTTGACCACTTTTTAAGTTAAAACAATGATAAAAATTTAGAAATTTAATTTAAATATAGAATAAATTTAGAAAATAAAGAAAAAATAAATTTAGAAAGTAAATAAATTTAGAAATTTAATTTAAATATAATGTGTTGAACTAAATATTATTTTTATTAATTTTCTACATCTAATTTATGAAATAAATAACACACAATAATAAAAATCAAGCAAAATTATCACTTATTAAAATTTTATTAAAGTAAATGAACTTTGAGAATTTTAAACTTAGTTACAGCATTGAATTGTATTCAACACTGTACAAGCAAAACAAAATCCGTGCATTTTTTTCAATTTTTTTTTAAATATCCAGAAAACTAATTCACCAACTGAAAAACTGTTTTAACAAAACTTTTTGGCAAAAAAATTGTGCTTAAGCTTTTCATACAAGACTTTGCTGTAACTTAATCAGTTTAGATAATATAAAATTTGAAACTTTGTTAAACATTTGTCTTCAGATAATTTGGTGAATAGAACTCTGTGCGAGGAATACAAAATCGCATTTTTACACTTTTTTTTCTAATATCCAGAAACTACTTTACCCATGAAAAAACTATTTGAGCAAAACTTTTTGGCAATAAAATTTTGCACAAACCTTTCATACACGACTTTGCTGTAAGTTAATTAGTTTAGAAGTTACAGAATTTCAAACTTAGTTAATAACTGTACCAATATTTATTATTAGTTTTGGGTGCAAATAAAATGTTATTAATCGCTCGGCGCGTTTTGCAGTTTTTGATAATTATTTTAAACAATAAATTTTACACAAAATGTTTGTAAACAAACTTTAAAGCTAATGAAATTCTGCACAAATTCGACAGGAACTACTTTTTTATAAATATATTAGTTTTAATTTAAAACAATAAATATTTTACACGGAATTTATAATTTTGACAATAAGTTGCAAAAACTATGAAAACGTATCGACATTCTGTACGTTGACAACTCTAAAGTTTATATTGACATATCTTTAAAACTTTTAAAAATTTTTTTTAAAGCAAAAATTTAGCTTATAAAATTATGTATAAATCCTTTATGAACAACATTTTTGTAGTTTAAGTGGTTTAAGAATTACAGAATTTCAAACTTGACCTTCCTAATTCCACGAAATCATTTGCTAAACGGTCTAATGTTTTGATATAGTTTTATTTTGTTTGAATATATTTTTATATACATAATCTACAACATTCTAAATTTGTTCTCACATACATAATTACCAGTTACATATATGGTATATGTATATATAGATGTATATATTATATGTATATATTATATTATTATATATATATATATATATATATATATATTATTTATTTTACCACTAAAACTATTACAATATTTTTAGCTCATTCAATTAATTTTTTCTAATTATAAAAAATTATTAGTCCAATCCCTCATAGAAATATAACAATCATTAGCCTGTTTGGAATTAGCCTGGCAAACACTTTTTAACCAAAGTTTAAATTTTTCCTGATCCTTATCCATTGCCAAAAATTGTCCTAGCACTGAACTAGCCTAAAAATACACTTATAATTTATAAAATTAAATTAAAAATATTTTTTTTTATTATTATTTACCTTAAGATATCCAGCATTTGCCAATCTTTGGGCTAAAACTGAACCAATTCCTGGTAATTCTGTCACCAATTTGTTGCCCATTGGTTCACACACGAAATTTCTGTGTTTTTGGGATGTCGACATGGTAATTTTTTTTTTTTTTAAATATTTTTTCAATAAGTTGTTGTCTAAGATTTGTTTTATGTATAATTGCATAGGTTTTTGTAATTTATCAATACACGATTCGATAAATTGTTATCAGAGGTACCAATAAGTTGTTCCTGGAATTGTGATAATATTATCTAATATGGTAGTCAGATAATTATTTTTATTAGTCATTTAAAGTATTAACTACATTTTTATTATTATTTATATCTTTTTTGCAGTATATATATATATATATATATATTATATTAATGATTTTTGTAATCTAAATCTAAATCCACATATTGATAACTGGTGTAGTACTTAGGTCTATGTTTTGACTAATTTTATTCAAAAATTTGATATACAAGTATATATAATATTTGATACTGAATTTTAGTCCATTTTATCTATTCTATACTAGTATAACCTAATTAAAGTGTCTTTAATAAATTTTTTATGTTATTTTACAAAATCTAGAAAAATGTCCCAAATCCACATATTGATAATTAATAAAATACTAAAGTCTGCGTTTCGACTAGATTTATTCAAAATTTTGTTAGTAAGTGGTATATAACATTTAATACCATTCGATAGTAAATTTTATCTATTTTCTACTGATGTAAATAAAACATTTGATATTAAAGTTTAGTCCATTTTATCTAGTCTATATATTAATATAACTTAATCAAAGTATCCCGAATAAAATTTTTAAGTTATTCGATAAAATTTAGAAAAATGTCCCAAATACACACTTTGATAATTAATAAAATACTAAAGTCTGCGATTCGACTAGATTTATTCAAAATTTTGTTAGAAAGTTGTATATACCAGTTAATACTATTCGATAGGAAATTTTATGTAGTTTGTACTTATAATAAATATAAATAAATTAATATGTTCTGATTGAAATTTCTAAGATATTCGACAAAATCTAGAAAAATGTTCAAAATCCACATATCGGTAATTAAGAAATTACTAAAGTCTGCGTTTCGACTAGATTTATTCAAAATTTTGATATGCAAATAAATAAAACATTTATTACAAAATTTTAGTTCATTTTATCTAGTTTATAGTAGTATAACTTTATCAAAGTATCCCCAATAAAATTTTTTAAAAGTTATTTGATAAAATCTATAAAAATTTCTTAATTCCACATATTGATAATTAACAAAATACTAAAGTCTGCGTTTCCACTAGATTTTATTCAAAATTTCAATATATATGTGTATATGATATTTAATATTAAATTTTAGTAAATTTTATCTAGTTTTTAATAATGTAAATAAATCAAAAAAAAAATTTTCAAGTCATTTGACAAAATCTAACCAAATGTCCTGAATACAGTTATTTTTAATTCGTAAATACTCAAATCCGTGTTTCAAGCGGAATAAGAATTACTTAAAATTTTAATATCAAAGTATTTATAGTAATTTACACATCATATGAGTAAATTTTATCTAGTTTTAGTTAGTGTAAAAAAATTACTATGTCCTGGTTGAAATTATCAAGTTAAATAACAAAATTTAGAATGTCGTTTTACACTTGTGATGATTATACAAAACAACAGGGTATTTTATATTTTTTATTGTTTGGTCAAAATGTCGGCAATGACTATAGAGACTACAAGTTTTTAATTATAAAGTAATTAATCAATAAAATTATTGGTAAATCCTCTAAGGCCAGCTTGGGCCTCGTTGGCCTGTCTGTCATTTGCATAGCAAGTGCTCTGGAAATTTCTTTTGAATTGGCCCTCGTTGGTCAAATAGGAACCCAAAAGGTTACTTGCCTAAAAAAACAGAAATTTATAAACTACACATTGTATTTCATTATCTTTACTATAATGCCGAATACTAAAATTAATAAGTTTTCTTAGAAATTTTCTAGATGCTTACAATTTTATAAAAAGGTACCTTCAACTCTAAGACAAAGTTTAAACTTACGGTGAACCAATAAAGTTTAGAAATTCATGATAATTTAAGTATTTGATTTAAATTGTTGTAATTTTAATATATTTTATTTCATTGGTTACTATGATGCTAAATAATAAAATTGATGAGTTTTTTCAGAAATTTTCAAGATATTTACAATTTTATTCAAAAAGTATCTCCATGTCTAAGTATGATACTATGAACCAGTAAAGTTACAAAAATTCATATTAATTTGAATATTTGATTAACAATGTTATAATTTTAATATAATATATTTTATTATGTCTACTATAATGCCAAATATTAAAATCGATAATCTTTCTTAGAAATTTTCAAGGTAATTACAATTTTATATAAAAAAGTTCCTCCATGCCTAAATATGCATATTAAACTAATACGACGAACCAGTAAAGTTTAGAAATTCATAATAATTTAAGTATTTGATTTACAATGTTGTAATTTTAATATATTATATTTTATTATGTCTACTATGGTGCCAAATAATAAAATTTATAAGTTTTTTTAGAAATTTTCAAGATATTTACAAATTTATCCAAAAAGTACCTCCATGCCAAAATATGATACTATCAACCAGTAAAGTTACAAAAACTCATAATAATTTGAATATTTGATTAGCAATGTTGCAACTTTTATATATTATATTTTATTATGTCTACTATAATGTCAAATACTAAAATCGATAATCTTTCTTAGACATTTTCAAGATAATTACAATTTTATATAAAAAAGTTCCTCCATGCCTAAATATGCATATGAACCAGTAAAGTTTAGAAATTTGTTATAAATTAAATATTCAACTTACAATGCTGTAATTTTAATATGTTATATTTTAATGTGTCTACTATAATGTCAAATACTAAAATCGATAATCTTTCTAAGAAATATTCAAGATAATTGCAATTTTATAGAAAAAGTTCCTCCATGCCTAAATATGCATGTTAAACTAATACGACAAACCAGTAAAGTTTAGAAATTCGTAATAAATTAAATATTCAATTTACAATGCTGTAATTTTAATATATTATATTTTATTGTGTCGACTATGATGCCAAATATTAAAATCGATAATCTTTCTTAGAAATTTTCAAGATAAATACAATTTTGTACAAAAAGTACCACCATGCCTAAGTATGATACTATCAACCAGTAAAGTTACAAAATCTCATAATAATTCGAATAATAGATTTACAATCTTGTAATTTTAATATATTACATTTTATTATGTCTACTATAATGTCAAATACTAAAATCGATAATCTTTCTTAGAAATTTTCAAGATATTTACAATTTTATTCGAAAAGTACCTTTAAGTCTAAGTATGCATGTAAAACTAATATGATGAACCAATAAAGTTTAGAAATTCATGATAATTTGAATAATTGATTTACAATGCTGTAACTTTAATATATCATATTTCATTATGTCTACTATAATTCCAAAGATTGAAATCTATGAGTTTTCTTTGAAATTTTCGAGATAGTTACAATTTTGTTATAAAAGTACCCTCATGACTAAGTATGCATTTTAGACTGATACGATAAACCATTAAAGTTTGGAAATTCGTAATAAATTAAATATTCAATTTACAATATTGTAATTTTAATATATTATATTATATTATGTCTACTATGATTCCAAATATTGATATTGATGAGTTCTTTAGGAAGTTTTTGAGATATTTACAATTTTATAAAAAAAGTTCCTCCATGCGTAAATATGCATATTAAACTAATACGACGAACAAGTAAAGTTTAGAAATTCGTAATAAATTAAATATTCAACTTACAATGCTGTAATTTTAATATGTTATATTTTAATGTGTCCACAATAATGTCGAATACTAAAATTTATGAGTTATCTTGGAAATTTTTAAGATCTTTACAATTTTATTCAAAAAGTAACTCTAGGTCTAAGTGTGCATTTTAAACCAGATGAACCTGTATTAGTAGAGTTTTAGAGTTTTATATATAATATTCAACCACTATTATATATTAAAATTAATTAAATATAAATTCTATTTCTATTTATTTATATCAATTATAATTTTTACCTTGGAATATCCGGCATCATTTAATCTTTGACCCAAAACTCTTCCGACTCCGGGGACTTCCGTGACCGGTTTGTTTCCCATCGGCTCCGAAACGAAATTCCGGTGTTTTTGGCTCGTCGACATTTTTTCAAAAACAAAATCAACGAAAAAAACATTAAATCAAACTGTTCTAGTCTGTTGATTCCAAATTCTAAAGTTTATATAGGCACGAGAAGACGACAATAAATTAATTTAAGATTTAGATAAGATCTTATCCAGTTAAATTTATTATTGTTAACTTCTGCGAAAAATATTTTTAAATTATGATATAAGTTTATTGTATTTGTTATCAATAGTGTTATCGATTTTTTGTAAATATTCCGGGAAAAAATAATATATTACGCATTTTTTGTTTATCGCTTTTGTAACATCCATAGCCTTGTCGAAAAATTTGTCTATTTTTAATAAATGTTTTAAAATATACCAAGGTGCTGTAGGTACAAATGATGTTAGAAAATATTATGGACTATTTAATTTCAAACAAATTCGCTGAATATTTGGTTCAAATTAAACAAACCGTTCAAAAGTTGAAAAAGAAATAATAACTCGTTTCTGACTCGTAACAGTTTAAACATCATATTTAGACATGGAGGTACTTTTTTTTATAAAATTGTAAATATCTTTGAAATTTCCAAGAAAACTCATCAATTTTAGTATTTAAAATCATAGTAGGCATATTAAAGTATAATATATTAAAATTACAACAATGTAAATCAAATATTTAAATTATCATAAATTTCTAAAGTTTATTGGTTCCTCATATTAGTTTAAAATGCATATTTAGACATAAAGGTACTTTCTTTATAAAATTGTAAATATCTTTAAAATTTTCAAGAAAACTCGTGCATTTAGTATTTGAAATTATAGTACACACATTAAAATATCATATATTAAAATTACAATATTGTGAATCAAATACCTAAATTATTATGAATTTCTAAACTTTACTGGTTGGTCGTATTAGTTTAAAAAACATACTTAGACATGGAACTTTTTTTTATAAAATTGTAAATATCTTGAAAATTTCTAAGAAAGCTAATCAATTTTATTATTTGGCATCATAGTAGACATAATAAAATATAATATACTAAAATGACAACATTGTAAATCAAATACTTATATTATCACGAATTTCTAAACTTTATTGGTTCATCATATTAATTTAAAATGCATACTTAGACTTGGAGGTACTTTTTTTTATAAAATTGTAAATATCTTTAAAATTTCCAAGAAAGCTCATCAATTTTAGTATACGACATCATAGTAGACACATTGAAATATAATGTATTAAAATTACAACAATGTAAATCAAATATTTAAATTATCATAAATTTCTAAAGTTTATTGGTTCGTCGTATTAGTTTAAAAAACACACTTAGACATGGAGGAACTTTTTTTATAAAATTGTAAATATCTTCAAAATTTCCGAGAAAACTCATCAATTTTAGTATTTAAAATCATAGTAGACATATTAAAGTATAATATATTAAAATTACAACAATGTAAATCAAATGTTTAAATTATCATAAATTTCTAAATTTTATTGGTTCATCAAATTAGTTTAAAATGCATACTTAGACTTGGAGGTACTTTTTTTATAAAGTTGCAAATATCTTGAAAATTTCTGAGAAAACTCATCAATTTTATTATTTGGCATAATAGTAAATATATTAAAATATAATATATTAAAATTACAACAATGTAAATCAAATACTTAAATTATTATGAATTTCTAAACTTTACTGGTTCATCGTATCAATTAAATGCATACTTAGACATGGAGGTACTTTTTTTATAAAATTGTAAATATCTCAAAAATTCCAAAAAAACTCATCGATTTTAGTATTTGACATCATAGTAGACACATTGAAATATAATGTATTAAAATTACAACATTCTAAATCAAATACTCAAATTATTATGAATTTCTAAACTTTATTGGTTCATCGTATCAATTAAATGCATACTTTGACTTGGAGGTACTTTTTTCATAAAATTGTAAATATCTTGAAAATTTTTAGGAAAGCTCGATAATTTTATTATTTGTCCTTATAGTAGATCTTTTAAAATACAATATATTAAATTTACTACATTGTAAATCCAAAACTCAAATTATTATGAATTTCTAAACTTTACATCGAATCAGTATTTTTGTTTATATCAACTCCTTGAACCAGCGTTAAAATCTCTAACTTTTATCCAAGATTCAAACCATTTAGTACATTTACTTTCTCCCCAGACGTCTCTGCTGTATTCTATATAAAAATTTCTTTCAATGTCCTCCAAATGCGACCACGTGTATGTAAATATATACAAAATCGAATTCAGTCGAATGTCGGCGCACGTTCGGTGCATACATGCTGCTCTTTTTTTATTTATTAAAAATATTTACAATTGTTGCAAAATTTTGCAAAAATTTGAAAAAATCGCTGAATGTATGTGTAAATTTGTGGTGGTATATAATTTTCAAAAAGTGCTTAGGGTAAAGGGTGATTTTAGTGCTTGTTTGGCGTAGTTGTTTTGGGATTTGTTAGAAATATTGAAATTAGTTTCGATATTTTTTAAAAATATTTATAAATCTTGCAAAAATTTTCAAAAAATTTGAAAAATTGCTGGATGTGTGTATAATTATATAGTGGAATAAAATTTTAATAAAGTGCTTTGAATTATAAATTTTTTAGCATAGTTTTATGAAACTATTCATTTATTTATTGACAATTGTTTAAACAAAAATATGCATCAAATTTCAAGTTTTGCGGAAAATGTATGAAATTTTTAAAAAAGTTACTAATTATATGTTCTTAAGAATATAATATTAAGTAAAGCCTGTTGTAATTGCATAAAATTTTGTAAAATTGGTCATAAATATTTAACAAAAATTTTAAACATAAACTTTTCCCTAAAATATATTTTGTTTGGATAATATTAAATTAAATCAAAACAAAAACTAGAACTTGACTGTTTTAATTTTTAAAGTGTTTTTTACTATACTATGTACATTTTCAATAAATTTTTTTGCTAAAAATGTTAGCCAAATTCTGAATACTAATTAATTTTTGAAATACAAATTAAAAATAAAACTGTAAATTTCAAGACTATTTCAGTCATGTTTTATCAAAAAACTTTGGAAAAATTGACTGTAATGTAAATATTTGTGCATCAGTGATTTTTTATAAAAATTAAATACCAAATTTAATATAAATTCATATAAAAAAGTGCCTGGAATTTTCAATAATTTAAAAAAACTGCTAAAAGTTTCATTACTAAAATTGACATAAACTTGATTTTTAGACCAAAAACTGGATTTTATGGACTAACTTAAAATTTAGGGATCATTTTGTATTTATATTTGTACCAAAATACACCCCTGGATTTATACAGTATATTAAAAAAAATATTATTAAACTAAAAGTGTCAAATAAATTATTTTAATACAATTTATGTGTCGACAAGAACTCAATACCAAAACTAAAATTGAAGTTTAACAAATTTTTGTGCAAAATTTTGTTAGAATGTTTTGAAAAACTTAGATGCCACTTCATACATAATCTGGTAAAGAATATTATAAAACCAAAATTTATAAGTTTGGGTCAAAATTTGGCTCTAAAATTGACAAAATTACAGCAAAAACATAAACAAAATATAAAGTTCCCATAGTAAAAATACAAAGTTTTATTAGTAAATTGTGTGTAAAATTTTTGTGTAAAATTTTCTCAAAAAGTTGTTAAAAGTGTAAATGCCATTTTGCACATAATTCAGTTAAAAATATTATAAGACCAAAATTTATGAGTTTGGGTCAAAATTGGCTCTAAAATCGGCAAAAATGCAGCAAAAACACAAACAAAATATGAAGTTCCCATAGTAAAAATAAAAAGTTTTATTAGAAAACTGTTTGTAGAATTTTTGTGTAAAATTTTGTTAGAAAGTTTTGAAAAGTGTAAACGCCATTTTATACATAATTTGGTATAGAATATCATAAAACCGAAATTTATGAGATTGGGTCAAAATTTGGCACAAAAAATCGACAAAAACAGAAACAAAACATAAAGTTTCCATAGTAAAAATATAAAGTTTTACAAGTAAATTGTTTGTAAAATTTTTGTGTAAAATTTTGTTAGAAAGCTGTAAAAAGTGTAAACGCCATTTTAAACATAATATAGTATAGAATATTATAAAACCAAAATTTATATGTTTGGGTTAAAATTTGGCTCTAAATTCGACAAAATTACAGCAAAAACACAAACAATATATAAATTAAAATAGTAAAGTTTTATAGTTAAATTGTGTGCAAAAGTGAAAAACCGGGACGCCATTTTGTAACAAATCTCAAATAAAGCCAAAATTCCAATTTTCGAAAATATAGAATAACCAAAAAATAAAAAAACCGGGACGCCATTTTGTAACAAATTTCAAATAAAGCCAAAATTCCAATTTTCAAGTTTTTAACACAAAAATTGTTTAAAAAACCTAAAAGTGCTTAAAACTTGAGTGCAAAAATTCAAAATTGTGCAAAATTTTGTGTGAAACCTGCAAAAACCTGAACGCCATTTGTACACGATACAAAAACACATAAAAATCCCAAATTTCAACTTTGTACCTCAACGCATTTTGGAGTACCATTGAAAACCCCAAAGTGGCCCCTACCCCAAAATACTAAAACCACCAAACTAAAATCAATTTTAAACTTTAGTCAATTACAAAGTGTCTTTTTTATTAATGTTACTGCCTTAAACTGACCATAATGGTGGAAGGACCCCAGGACGAGAGTCCTCCATGGACAAAACTTTTAGAAGTGACCCCTGCAGCCCCTATTATTGTGAAAGTCGAAGAACCACAGGATCCTCCGGCCACAAATGGACAGCCCCCGGGTGCCCCTAGAAGACAAAGTCTTTTAGGGTCTTTTCATAGACAATTGAGGTTGTCTTTTAAGGGCGACTCTTCTGGAAATGGAGGAGGGCCCCTTTTTAGGTAATTGTAATAATAGATTTATGGTACAAAAGATATAAATTTAATATAAATTTTTATTAAACCTGAATAGTTTGATAAATTGAATTTTTTTCCCACAACAATGTGTTTGGTGACTTCGGTACGGGGTCACCAATAAGATAACAATTGGACAAAGAAACTTTAACATGAAGAGATAAAGCAAAATTGTCTCTCGGGTCAGAGTATCATATAGGGGCTTATCTGTCGTGTCGTGTTACAGAAAGAATATACGGAATATTATGATGGGAATTTAATATGATGTTCTTTAATATGTCTTTTGTTGGGTTTGATGAAAAAAATTTAGGGTCTTTATGTAGGTTTTTGCGTTATTAACGGTTTTTGAGGAGCGTGTCCTGAGATAAGATAGAAGATGTAATCATGGGGTTGTGTATTTTTTATAAATATTTGTACTCAGTTTAGATTTATAAAATTTAAGTATGTTATACTATGGTATGTCTACTAGGATAATCAATAAAAAAAATAGTGAGCTTTCAAACAAATTTTTGTGAAATTTGCCAAAGCGTCAAAGGGTCTTTATAAATGCACCAGTTCATACAAGTCATTGCAGTACAAATGCAATTTGTGGACTCAATATTTTTTATAAATACTAATACTCGGTTTAAGTTCATGAAATTCTACTATGTTATTCTATAGTATGTTTACTATGTTGTACAATAAAAAAAATTATGAGCTTTCAAACAATTTTTTGGGATGTTAACAATTTTACTCCGGAGTGTTCTTAAAACTTTTTTTCAAAACATTTGTATTAGAAAGGAGACGCAATGCAGGTTTTTAATTTTTTTTAAATATCTCTACTCAATTTCAATATATGAAATTTTAGTATGTTATTCTACAGTATATCTACTATGATTCTGATTTAAAAAATTGGTAGAGTTTGAAGCAATTGTTTGAGATATTAACGATTTTAACAAAGAGTGTTCTTTGAAAGATTTCTCTGAACAACTTTTACTAGTAGGAAGTTCAATAGATGCTATTTTTGAGTTTGTCATCTTTTATAAATATTTCTACTTGGTTGAGGTTTATGAAATTTTAGTATGTTATACTTTAATGTATCTACTATGATGTCTAATAGAGAAATTAGTAAGCTTTCAAACAAATTTTTGAGATATTTACGATTTTGCCCAAAAGCGTCCGTTACAAATTTACTCTGAATTTGGTTAGGAGTGGCTGTTTCTGTGTTTTATATTTTTTATAAATAATTATACTCGGTTAAGGTTTATGAAGTTTAAGTATGTTATACTTTAATATAACTCCTATAATGTCTGGTAGAAAAATTATTAAGCATTCAAACAAATTTTTGAGATATTTACGATTTCACCTAAAAACGCCCTTCAAAATTTACTCTGAACGCAGCCTGCCTTAGCAGATTGGTTGGGAGTGGCTATTTTTGTATTTTATATTTTTTATAAATATCAATACTTGGTTGAGGTTTATGAAATTTTAGTATATTATACTTTAATGTATGTACTATGATATCTAATAGAAATATTAATCATTTTTGAAACAAATTTTTGAGATATTGACACTTTTTTCTGAAAGCGTCCTCAGGAATAATTTTATAAACGCAGCCATTCATACTGAAAGACCAATATTTAGGTTTAATATTTTTTTATAAATATTTACACTCGGTTTAAGTTTATGAAATTACAGTATGCTGTACAATAATATATCTACTATAAAATTCAGTAAAAAAAATAGTATAGTTTGGAGAAATTTTTTGAGATATTAACATTTTTAGTCGACAAAGTACTTTACAATATTTTTCAGTGGAAAGAAGATAGTAAGCAATTATTGTTTTATAATTTTTATGAATATTTTTACTAGGTATAAGTTTATGAAATTCGAGTATATTATACTATAATGTGTCTACTATTATTCTTAATATAAAAACTAGTAAAGTCTCGAGAAATTTTTTGAGATATTGACGTTTTTCCATGAAATCATCCTCAGGAATAATTTAATAAACGCAGCCATATACTGGAAGGCAAATATTTAGGTTTAATATTTTTTATAAATAAAATAAATCAATAAACAAAAATAAAATTACTCACTAAATTTTCTTAATTATTTTTTACCAAGGTTTATAAAATTTTTGTATATTATACAATAATATGTCCATGATAATGTTCAGTAAAAAAATAGTATAGTTTGAAGCAATTTTTTGAGATGTTAACGATTTTAATCGTAAACGTCCTTTAAAAATTCACTCTGCCATAGTAGACAGGTTAGGAGAAGCTAAATTTGTGTTTTATATTTTTTATAATTATTTATACTCGGTTTAAGTTTATGAAATTGTAGTACGTTATACTATGACATGTCTGCTATGATACCGATAAAAAAAATTGTGAGGTTTCAAGCAATTTTTTGAGATATTGACGATTTTCCCTGAAAGCGTTCTCAAGAATAATTTTATAAACGCACCATATACTGGTAAGCCAATATTTAGGTTTAATATTTTTCATAAATAAAATAAATCAATGAACAAAAATAAATATTACCCACTAATATTTCCTAATTATTTTTTACCAAGGTTTCCAAAACCTGTCTAATCTAATAAAACAATACATTGTGTTATATTATTTATTCAATCGACTAGATTTTGACCTCAGGAGGCCATTTAATAGAAAGTTTCATGAATTTCAAGTTTGTTTATTAGAAACAGATTGATCGAATTAGAATTACAAATATCGAAAATTAATTATACCAAGGGCCCGAATACAAATTTATGGTGAAAGATTTTTTATTGCACTAATTTAGTACAAATGATTTGGTTCATTTTCTAAAAGCATAAGGTAATAAAAAGATTTTAAATAAATACTTTAGATAAAAACTTTTTAAGTGGTTTTTGTGACACAAATTACTGGTGGAGAGATAAGAAATGTGATTTGTGAAATAAACAAATTAAATACATAAACTAGGTGTGAGTGGCATATTGCCTTAGTGCAAATTGCAAGAACTTCCTGATATATATAAGTATATATGTATATATCATGTACTTATATATAAGTAATGGACTAAGCGTTAAATTGTTGAGTCATTAAGATTAGTTTCTGTAAATAGTTTTTAGAAAAACGTCACTCATCGATACTTAAAAACATAAATAATTTTGAATTAACTAACAATTAACATCTTACCTCGTATCAAATATTTGACCTTTACAATTACTTTGAACGTTTACTTTTTGATAACACATAAAACTAAATATTATAAACATATTGTTACGGTTTATTTATTAATTAAACGTAAATTAACATATCCACACAATCATCACATTTAAAATTATTGTAAACGAAACGTCAAATCAAATAAAAAATGGCGGACATTAACACCAACTTCACAAATATAAGTTTTAAATATTACTGATCACTTTAAAAATATTAATATTTTTAATTAGTTATATTTAGATTGTTTACACATATGTTCTTATATTAATTATTTATATTATATTGATATAATATGAATATATAAAAAAATTGATTAACGTTTGCTTGCAAAAATATGCAGAATGTTGGTACCCCTGCAAACACAACTGTGAAGAATGCGTTAAACCGAATTGACATTAGAATCAAAATGTCGGATGTGTTAGAATTAAATTGTCGCAGTTAAATTCAATATTTAATATTTAATAATAATGATAATATGTTTGTGGACCTATATATTTTTGTCTTATTGTTATAATTATTAATTCATAGTATTGTATTTAATATTTTTGTTGTGAATATAAACACAAATACGGCTTATTGCAAAGTGAGTGTAGTTTTGAAGAATTGTTTCGGTGTCTAAGCTAAAGGTAGGAATTTTATAAAATTTACTTTAAATTCATTAATTTAATAGCTTTATTGACTTTAATCTTAAAACATTGTGCCAGTTGGAAACTAAGTATAAGAATTATGTTGTAAAATCTGTCTGATTGGTATATATATGTATTCGACTTAATTGCTAATAATTGATATTTGGTAACACCTGAATTTGGGAATAATTTTAAAATTTTGACATGATTCAATATTCAAACTTTCATGTTTCTATTAAATTAAACTTCTTTTTGTCGGCCTATAATATTTCAGTTAGTATCAACCATGAAATATATCGTTCAACAAAGTTTCATAATTTTTTTTCTTTCAACACTTTCAACAATTAATTAAAAAA